GGCTCCCCGAGGGTTTCATTAAATGTTACGAGCGCTGATTCATGTGTAAACCTTGGCTGGGGGTTACACAGGGGTTTTAGGGATCTCTGGATCAGAAGATAATCCAAGTATGATGTAACTCAATGTCAAACATTATGCTAGACCTTATTAGTTTGAAAAGGAGAAATTATGACAAATTTAGTAGATTGTGTTTAGTGTGTATTCTACTTGTATAGTTCCAGGAACAAGAAAAGTATGGTACATAAGATGACTTAGTCTAGGAAGAAATATGTTTGGGAATCTTGATGTCAAGAGCATGTGTGGATAAGGCCAGGCTGCCTCCCCTTGAGTATTCTTGTGTTTCCCCTTTTGTAACAACTTCTAATCCTTTGTGGAGTGATCTTCCAGTACAACAGCTCCCTCAAGTGTTTAGTTTTATACTGCACATCATTTGCCTATTCTACAATCGACTCGAGAATTTTGCAAGGCTGTAGTCATTGAGCTATATCATGTGCCGGAAGTTTTTAGTCTAGTTTGGGAAACATTTCTTGCACATTGTCAAGATTTTAACATGGTTCATTGTTTCTTTGTTTTGTCTTTCTTTCTCTGTTTTCTCTGTGCTTCTTTAGATCCTTTTTGTTGACATCAGCATTTAAATTTGTGGTTTGTTTCTGCATAACTTGGATTCCGTCATGGTTTTTGTCTGTCGTTGTTGCCATCAAGGCACCAAAACAAGTAAAGTTTTCCCACATAGAACAATCCTGTTTACATTTTACACATTCCTTATGAACCACAAGCTTCAAACACAACCCATGGCCAAATAAACGTAAAATAAACATCATATACATTGTAGTTACAAACATTAAGTAAGTGTTTTTGATAGTAAACTAGCGGGCCTGTACCCATGTCACTTCTTCCCAAGCACAAGAGCTGTCTGCTATGCAAAATTCGTGACCATAGCATGTTCAGATAATCATGATCATGAGATACATCAAAAGCGGAAGTTCTGCTGCAGTACCATAACGAGCCACAAGGGACCCCAAAATCTACCGGTATTCATTTCCAGCTTTCATCGAGACCTACCCACATACCAACTTTCATGACAATCCATCCATTGCTTCCTCAGTTATTGTGATAAACCTCACACATACATGTACAATCATGTATACATTCATACAATCATATATATACATGTACTATGTACATTTACATGCATAGTACACATACATACAAATGCTACCAAAAACATAACATTCTTGGCAATGAATGAAGCTTTAACAGAGGGAATACAAAATTTGTCCCTCAAGAAGCAGGAAATCGTGTCTCAGAGGGCTATGAGTTTTGATTTTGGTGGGAGAATATACATGTAAAACCCCCTACTGTGGTCAAATCTTTGGGATTCAATGTTCACCAAGCTACAGTGTCTTTTAAAGCTTACAGTATTATGTCAGCAATCGTCAGTAGTATGTCAGTACTGTCAAGACAGTAACCATCAGTCATGACAGTTGATTAATAAGCTGCTCTACTGAATTATGACTGAAATGTCAGCAACTGATCAGTTACTGACAGTCAGTCACATATCACACTACCAAATTTTTTTTTTTCTTTTTTTTTTCTTATTTTCTTATGTTGAGAAATATTTTCTTGTGAAGGGTGAAAGACTCAAGAAAATTCAAGAAACATTCTTCAAAGTTTTGTATGTTGATTCTTACACAAAGAATGTTATTAATTCTTTTTCTTAAGAAAAGAAAATATTTCTAGTATCATGGTCACCAAAAAAAAGAATCTTAAGAATATTTGGAATATGAAGAAAGTTAGCTCTTAGTTCAAGAAATCTTTTCTTGTGTACAGAATGGTTGTCTTGCTTCAAGAACAGTTAGCTCTTAGTGCAGTACTGGAGGTTTGCTTAGAATTGCATAGCAGAAAGTTGTCCTTCTGTACCAGACCCATACTCTGTGAGAAACTTCTGCCGAGAACCCTCCTTTACCTTCACCTTTTGAAGTTAAGTTTCAAAAACATGGCTGAAGCCAAAGGAATTAGGAATGACCTGACTTGCCTCACAAATTGGTGGTACAAAAATAAATGCACGCAGAAAGAGACAGGCACAGTATGTAACCTATACCACCCTTCACTCTAGCTCCGAAAGCCTTCCATTTATTTTGTCCATCAGGGATCAGTGAGAAATGGAGTCCTGTCAGGACTGGTCCATGTTTGTCTGCTTTCTTCATCAGTGAGGGCTCAAGATGTCACTACTGCCTTGTTATCATGTACTGTATTACCATAGGGAACTTCCTCTAGGGCTGGAAATACATAAAGTACTGTACATATATATATATCAATAATATTATGTACATTATTTTGTGAACCCAAAATTGGAGCTGTGCAGCTAATTTTTTATTGCAGGGGTAACATCTGTGTCCATAATATCACCAGGGTCCATAATATCGCCACCTTGAGAAATAGTGTGTTTAAAGATATTTTTACTGCAACATACCCTAGGTATGTACATTTGATGTGTGAAGGAGTGCATACCAAAAGTATGCTGCAGTAAAAATATCTTTAAGCACACTGTTTCTCAAGGTGGCGATATTATGGACCCTGGTGATATTATGGACACAGATGTTACTAAACTTTAAGCGAACCTAGACATTGATTTTTAAAAATCAAACATAATTTTTGATTGCAGGAGTACTAGACTAAGTGAACCTAGACATTGATTTTTAAAATCAACCATGCTGCCTGAAAGTCAGTATAATGTAATGTAATATTCGGTAATAAATAGATGAATTGATATTTATATAAGGTTACGTAATAAAGGTACTACATGTATGTTTGTACAAGAGTATGAAATTAAAGTGTCATGAAAAATAATAAAACCTTGAAGTTCATGTTTTATTGTTTAAAAATTTTAAGTTTAGAATTTTAAATTCAAGCCCTGAAGAAATCTAGAGTACTGTATTTGACATGTGTGTTTGTATAATTGTTGGTTTTAAAAATCAACCAAATTGTATGAAAGTCAAATTTTTCTAGTTTCATAACTTTAGGCCACACCAATTTAATTTCTTGGTTAACGGATTTGTCTAGAAAAATAATGGAGCGGGCGGGCGAAAAAAAAATAAAAACAGGCCTAGGCATCCTATTATGTCCCAAAATGGGAGCCATTAAGTCAACACACCAGGCTGGTTCAAAATGTAAACAATGAATTTTGAACTTTTAATGATACTATTGCATTGAAAGATGGAATGACTGTAACGAGTAGTAAGAAAAGGACTGTTTTCAACTGTTCAGGGCAAAATATGAGCATTTTGCAGTTGATTCTGAATTTTTATTTTTATTTGCAAATCAGAAAAAAATGAAGCGGCGAATCCGTTAACCAAGAAATTAAATTGGTGTGGCCTTAAATTCAAGAGGATGAAATTAAACAAAGTAAATCGAGACAGTAAGGTTTGGAATTAGGTTTTGCTGACATTCTATTCTTTATTATGTTTACCGAAGGAAGACATATTTGATTTTGCTCTGTTTCCTCTTCTTCTCCAAACTAATAAGGTCAATGACCTGAACCAGACGTCTGTCACCATAGTAACTAGTGTTGGGTTACATCATGTTACAATTTTATAGCAAGAGGGATTTAGACTCCTGTCTGACCATTATATATGAATGTGTTTGAGTAAGAATTAACAGCGCAGACCATATGCGAAGGTAAACATTATGTATTTGCTTTGTGAATGTTACCTTAAATTTTCTAGTTTTATGTTATTTTTTCTGTACACCTACATGTACTATTCCCAAAAGTGTATTTTCCAGCCCAGAAACTGCACTTCTATAAGTACTAACTGGGCAGCAAGCCAACTGTACTCCTCTGTAAATATTCTTTCTAAACCTTAGGGCATAGTAAATATCTATCTTCTCTGTGCTGTGGACACATCTATGTGGCCAAATTTGTACTGGTATGTAACAAGCTTTAGGAGTAGTGCACCCAGGGCAGACATTGGGACTCGCGCAATTTGTAAAGCTTAACTCTAGTTTGGCAACACCAACTCAATTTTATGGATGACATCCGTGCGCGCATTGATTTTCGCCTGTTCTCAAAAAAAAATAATAAAAAATCACATCCACTGAGGCTCTGGCCTGGCTCTAGGCCTGGGTATTATATTAGCGACAATACGGAGCCGGGCACCCAGGCTACCGAAGCTCCACGACTCAAGAACTCAGTACATACGTACAGTGCTTATTCATAAATTCCGCAAAAAAGCCAGCATGTGCCGGCTTGTCATATACGTTGCTAAGTAAAATCACAATACCAGGTTTGTATTCCTGTGGTTATGTAGCATTTTTATTTTTGGCCGGACTTTTTTTTTATTCGCCCGCGCGCACTAGTTTGGGGGTCTTTGGAGGATGTCATCCATAAAATTAAGTCGGTGTGGCCTTAACTCTAGTTACTGGCGGTGACACTGGAGGATGTGGTCTGCAATTTGTGGAGATGTTTTCGTGCCCCAGAGGAGAAATGCAATGATTTGGTTTGGCTCCAAAATGGCTTTAGAGAAAGTGTGCACCAGTCTGTTTTCTAGAATAACAACCATTAAATTTTGTAGGTTCAAACATTCTTTTTTTTTTTTTGGCGTTATAAGCTTTGCCAAGATAGCTAATGTTTTTGGTAGCATCTGTGTGTGTGTAAATTTGTGGTTTTGCACCATACCTCAAGTTATGGATGGATTGTTATGAAACTTGGTAGGTGGGTAGGTCTTGGTGAGACCTAGAAATGATTAGATTTTGGGGCCCCTGGCAGCTTGTTGCAAATATGATTTAGTAATAGGTATTCGATGCTATACATACATACATACATACATACATTTTTACATGTAGCTTTTGCTCTCAAACTCTCTTAAAAAGAATGTACAGACAACCTGAAGTCAATCAAATACCCTTGCTATAAAGTATAAAATCTCTTCATTCTCGCATGAAATCACTTGTAATTGCATGTCTGAGGAATACTCATTCCATTTTCTTCTTCACCCTTACAGATTAAACTCTCAAACGACACAGCATCCCCCTTACACCAGGTGAGACACGTGTGTGTTGGATTTCTTTCTTAAAGATGCATCTAACTGTCTGTTTTGCTGTTATTCACTTCAATGTACAGTCAGATAACATTCCAACCCTCCACCTTCTGTGTCAGAAATAACAGTGTGTGGACTTCCGCAGTGTAACAGTGCCCTCTATTGATAGATGTTTGAAGTGCAGGTTGGTTGTTTTGCACTGTGCAAGTGCTGCAAAACCCTCATAAAGTTATCCTGTTTTTAAAAAACCCAACACTTTGGTAAAAGTTAATTATGTTTACCGAAGGAAAACATAAAATTATTGTTTTTGCTCAGTTTCTTCCTCTTCTTCTTCTTCTCCAAATAGTGACATCATCAAGTAGTAGTACATGTATGAAATGTGTTTGAGTAAGAATTAACAGAGCAGACCATGTCCGAAGGTAAACAACATGCATTTGCTTTGCAAATGTTACTTCTCTAGTAATATTTGTGTGTTTTTTGTGTCCACAGATTACCCACATGGGGTGGATGAGTGAGCGGATAGGAGCCTCCAAGAACTTCCAGAACTGGAAACCCAGATTTGTAGCACTCAGAGGGGAGGACATGTTTCTCATGGACACCCCTCCTGTAAGTAATGGTACCTCCCTGTCATATACATGTATTTCATATGGAGAGACAAAAATGATACTCTCCAAGCAGAGGTTTGGGTTTTGGCTTATTTTTGGGTTGTTTTTTTATCGGGCTTTTTTTGCACTGTTTTATTTTTAAGGTTGGTGAAAAAAACAGGGCAAAAAAGAAAGCCTGATAAAAAAAGCCTAAAAACACGGCTAAAACCTGAACCTCTGCTTAGAGAGTACAAAAATTATACATCTGCTAGTGTTTGCTATTTCCAGGGTAATGGCAGTTATTTTGTTCTTTCAGATACAATAATACATGTTTTTAAGAAGTTTGCTGAATGCTAGGCCAAAATAATACTTTGAGGTTCAGAACATGGGTAGTGAACATTGGTTTTAAAGGTATTTGGGTTGTATGTTGGAATGAAACACTTGTCAGGGAGAGAGTTCAATAATTTTGCAGTCTGTGGAAAGAAGCTTTTGCTATAGAAAGACTGAGAGAGACTGGCACTATTGGAGAGTGTAATAATCTTGTAGAGAACCTAGTTCTACACTGAAATGTTGTCAATGGTGAAACATCATAAGATAAAAAGTTGAACATGTTTTTTTTTCTATTCCTGTACAGGTTAGCCAAAGAGACTGGGTGAGGTGTGATCGGATGTACAAGCTACATGAGCTCATGTGTAAAATGAACAGGGTCAGTCTTTTACACTTTTAATAGTTGTTATTTGAGAGGGGCAGATGTCCTAAAACGATCAAGCTATCACTGAAATACAAATGGCACAATTGTCTACTAACAAGGAAACAGACAATCTGAACCTTTTAAACCTTTTTCACTGAACACACTGCCACTCACAAATTACAAAGTCTTTTAAAAGCTTTACTTTGCATTTACTAAATGATTGCTCTATTGGGAGACTTGAATTATGTTAAGTGTATTTTTCATCTAGGAAAGCTGGAGTTACAATCTGATTCTATATTATGTCACTTGCCATAACACAGTTAAAGTTCAAGTTCAAAAGTCCTCCTCCATTGCCATGGCCGCTTGTGGCAGCACCCATCTCTGTTTCTATAGCCCCCAGGCCACACAGTACTGCAAGCACTGCAGCAGGGGACTAGTCCGCTGGTAGTGTTGTATGTTTATCTCCCATACTCTTCTCAAATGCTGAGTGCTAAGCAGAGCAGTATGTACCATTCTCAAAGTCTTTGGTATGACTCAACCGGGGATTGAACTCACAACCTACCAAATGCAAAGTGAGCATTCTACCACTTGCCCATCGCACCAACCATAACACACATCTTTTTTTGCTCCCCAGGACCAGGAAGTGTTAGATGACAGACTGTACTGTGTGGGAGTGCAGCTGTCGACTGGGGAGTCCTGTTACCTGAGTGTGGAGACTAAAGAAGAGTTAACTCTGTGGATGGGAGCCATACAGACTGCCACACATCACGCAGTCAGGATTATAGGGGTAACCAAACTGGTCTATCTGTATCTGTATAGCCAGTATAACCGCCCTTCAGCGTAACACACCAGCTTCTGTATCTGTATAGCTGGTATAACAACGCTTCAGCGTAACACACCAGCTTCTCTCTCTGTATAGCCGGTATAACCGCCCTTCGGAGTAACACACCAGCTTCTGTATCTGTATAGCTGGTATAACCGCCCTTTTGTATAACACACCAGCTTCTGTATCTGTATGGTCGGTATAACCGCCCTTTGGCGTAACACACCAGCTTCTGTATCTGTATAGCTGGTACAACCGCCCTTCAGAGTAACACACCAGCTTCTGTATCTGTATAGCCGGTATAACCACCCTTCGGCGTAACACACCAGCTTCTGTATCTGTATAGCCGGTATAACCACCCTTCAGTGTAACACAGCAGCTTCTGTATCTGTATAGCCGGTATAACCACCCTTCAGTGTAACACAGCAGCTTCTGTATCCGTATAGCCGGTATAACTACGCTTCAGCGTAACACACCAGCTTCTATACCTGTATAGCCGGTATAACCGCCCTTCGGCGTAACACACCAGCTTCTGTATCTGTATAGCCGGTATAACTACGCTTCAGCGTAACACACCAGCTTCTGTATCTGTATAGCCGGTATAACTACGCTTCAGCGTAACACACCAGCTTCTATATCTGTATAGCCGGTATAACCACCCTTCTGCGTAACACAACAGCTTCTGTATCTGTATAGCCGGTATAACCACCATTCAGAGTAACACACCAGCTTCTGTATCTGTATAGCCGGTATAACCGCCCTTCGGCGTAACACACCAGCTTCTGTATCTGTATAGCCGGTATAACCGCCCTTCAGCATAACACACCAGCTTCTGTATTTGTATAGCCGGTATAACCGCCCTTCAGCATAACACACCAGCTTCTGTATTTGTATAGCCGGTATAACCATCCTTCAGCGTAACACACCAGCTTCTGTATCTGTATAGCAGATATAACCGCCCTTCAGTGTAACACACCAGCTTCTGTATCTGTATAGCCAGTATAACCACCATTCAGAGTAACACACCAGCTTCTGTATCTGTATAGCCGTTATAACCACCATTCAGAGTAACACACCAGCTTCTGTATCTGTATAGCAGGTATAGCCGCCCTTCGGCGTAACACACCAGCTTCTGTATCTGTATAGCCAGTATAACCACCATTCAGCGTAACACACCAGCTTCTGTATCTGTATAGCCGGTATAACCGCCCTTCAAGGTAACACACCAGCTTCTGTATCTGTATAGCCGGTATAACCGCCCTTCGGTGTAACACACCAGCTTCTGTATCTGTATAGCCGGTATAACCGCCCTTCGGTGTAACACACCAGCTTCTGTATCTGTATAGCCGGTATAACCACCCTACGGTGCAGCAGACCAATGTATTATCCATTCAGCACCAAGGACAGGGAAAACACAGCAATATCCATGTTTGACTGTACTACTATACAAACTTAAAGACACAATTTGACATATCGGTTCAAGGTATAATGTTATTCTTTTAATTGCTCACTACTTGTACCATAACCTTTGGTCTGATCTTTTTAATCTTACAGAGGAAAACCTTTGGAGTTAGCTGGCAGAGGAGACTGGCTGCACTCACGCTGGACTTCACCACTGGCTTCACACTGTATGATGGAGAAAATAAGGTAGGGTCTAAAGATAGAGTTTTTTGTGTTGTTGATGTTAGGGACCTAGACCAACAGTTTTAAAGTTCATCTGTGTTAGTAATTACATGACTGTTTAAAGTTTAAAACTTTTGTCCCAGCACAAGGTAAATTCTCTCACCTGGAGCTTTTGGCCAGTCACTCTGGTCTTCCTCAATAGACTTACTCAGTGAGGCTTGTTGCCACGTGGCTTCTTTGAAGTGTGATGTCAACACTGTGACAGGGGCCGACATTGATATCTTTGACCCAGTGTTGACGTCACACTTCAGAGAAGCCACGTGACAAGCCTCACTGGGTCAGTCTACTGAGGAAGACAAGAGTGACTGGTTGAAAGCTCTAGAAGAGAAAATGTATCTTGTGTTGGATCAAAAGTTTTCAAGTCTGCAAACTTAGGCTGGAGCAGCCACGCCTTTTAGGGCTAACTTTTATAAATCTTACCCCTCCAGGCTGTGCTATGGACCTACAAGTTCTCCCAGTTGAAGGGTTCCTCGGACGACAACAAGTCTAAAATCAAGCTCCTGTTCCAGTCTCCCAACCTCAGGCATATAGAGACACAGGTCAGGACTTAGTCTTCTCTTCAGAATGTTGCCTTTGACAGGAGAAATAAACATTGTGTAGAAAAATTTCAGTCCATAGACACAACACTGTCAAAACATCATACAGTTACATTACTTTTGTGGCTGTGAAACAATTGTGAACTTTCATGCTTAGACCACACCAAGTAAATTTTATGGATGACGTCTGCGCGCGCATTGATTTTGGCCTGTTCCTAGAAAAAAACCAAGAAATTCCGCTTCCTGTAACTATGACCAAAGAGTCACGACAGTGCCACAAATAGTCAGATTGACGTGAAACCCGTAACGCGAGAACAGGACAGGACGACAACTGCTGTTCCACCTGATTTATTGCTGTTTTGATGATGAATAAAAGACTTCTTGCTTGTTACACTGTGTCACCTCATTCAATTTGTGTCCTAACATTTGTCGTCTCTTAGTATATTTCTAATCTAGGCATCTTGTTTTTTAGGGCCCTATTTGTTTTTTTTTCGCCCTCTCGCATTAGATTTAGGGTCTCCAAAGGACGTCATCCATAAAATTTACTTGGTGTGGCCTTATTATAATAATGGAACAATGATTTGGATTGATTTATACCTTTTTGATATAGTCTTTTGTTTCTTGTCTTTTCCTTTACAATACATGTATGTTTACTTTTGTATGTTAAAGTAATGCTGATTTTTATTTGACAATGTGAAGAGGTATGTCTAAGGCCTAGGAAAAAAATATTGTGTTTCCTGTTTCAATCCTGAAAAAAATTAGGGTCAGTATGTAGGGATTATATTTTTTTTTCTTTTTCTTTAGACCTATATATATATGGACCCAACTTATACAACACAGTATAACAAAGTAAAACTTGCATGAGGACACTTTTATTTTCAATGTCAATGTTAGAAAACCAATAATTGTACAACGTTTTATCACTGAGGTGTCTGATCATGGAGCTAGAAAAGGTTGACCAACCTGAAAAATTTCTTGTGAAAAATGTCTTTGCAGTGGTCCACACAAAAAAAGGCTAGGGTCGGCAGTTTTTCTTAGGTCGGTTGTTAAACAGAAAACACATCATTTTTTCCTAGGCCCAAGTGACTGTTGTTTTGTATGATGTAGTGATGAATTTTGTTTGTTTGTTTGTTTGTTTATCCTACAGGAGTTGGAGTGTCCGAACCTGCAGGCTCTCCTGTTCAGTATGCACGCCTTCCTGTCCGCAAAACTCGCTGCTGTCGACCCTGTCTTCGTCCGTAGTCTCGCCAACATGGCCGTCTAACCGCGTAACAGTTCCCATCCACATCAGGACTTTTAACAATATCCGTAAATAACTTCATAAGGTTGGACGATACTTAGGGTATAGAATTTTCTTCTTACACAACCAGTAAGATACACACGATCCCAAAAACAACAAGCACAAAAAGAAGAGAAGAAATCGGCAGTCACAGACCATGTTGCCAGAAACAATTGTGTGATAGACTGGGAGGAGCCAGGGTCATAGATAGGGAGGACAACAAGAGAATCCGGTGGATTAAAGAAGCAGTCTGGATAAGGAAGTCAACCCCAGTGATGAACCGGGACGAGGGGGAATACAAGCTCAGCCATGTTTGGGATTGCATTCTCGCCGCAAAAGCGCCACCTAATTTGGCGATAAATAGTGGCGAGTTGCAGAACTCCAGTCAGAAGCTCTGAGGAAGGTAAGCAGGTGAGAACCTTACTGGTTGTGTAAGAAGAAAATTCTATACCCTACTTTTAACAATAGTATCTTTTATGATCATGTAATGAGATTGTTTTTATTGAACTTCCCACAACAGTAGGAAGTTTGTCAATGAAGGTTTGATGCCCATGCAGGTAGAATGTTATATAATGTGGAATAAATCAACGAACGGGATAAAATTCTTGAATACTAGTAGTCAGACGTTTCAGATAACTCTCTCAGAAATGTCTGACAACTCCTTCGAAAATTTATCTAGTTGCTGGATTTATTTTGTATTATATAGCGGGGAGTTTGGATCAGAAATCCACGCCATATCAATATTTTGTGAAGGATTAATTTTTCCATACATGCACACATTTGTTTGGTCACTAAAACTTTGCAATAGATGTGTAATGATAACAGTAGAAAGGCAAGTATGAAGGGCTCTAGCCAACACAAAGTTTTTTTTTCATTACCCCGGTAGCTCAGGTTCATGATCAGACCTTGGGAGGAGCGCTACAGGTGCACATTGAGCCCCAAAAGGGAAAATTTTAGATTTTCAAGCCTTCAAAAACACAATTTCTCGCATTTTGAGAGGAAAATTGTGGGATTGAGAGTGTCAATTTTATCCAATAAGATTTTTGCCAATTCTATCCATAAAGGTTGACGGATTGGTTTAAAAAATTTTCTGTCACATGCCGCAAAGTTCTGGCAATTGACAGAAAAACGGGTGCTGGGTAGAGCCCTGGTATTATGTTCAAAGTCAGTCAATGTTTTTGATGGTCTCGTATATGAGTTTTTGGGTCAACACTTTGAACATTACACATGAAATCAAACTGGTTATTTCTCACTTTGGCAGGTCTGTCAGCTTGTAAGAAAGCAGACTTTTACGGAGTGTACAGAGATGTATGTACAGACTACTTTGTACAGCAGACAGTATTTTTGCTATAATCGTAAAAAAAAACACAGAACTATCCAAAGTGCACTCTAGTCAGATACACTCGTGTTGGAATTATCCTAGATCCGTATAAAGAAAAACAGGAGAAATTTTTGGTCTGCAAAGTTATTTTGAAAGTGTACCATGACAATACTCAATGTTATCTGGTTTTTGTCATCTCTTCCAAGAGTTACATGTATTTGATATCTGTGACATTCTACATGTAATTATCTAACCTCTTAAAAATAATCCAAATCATACTTTTTAACATCATACATAATACTGCTGATATAGGTATAGTTTTAATATATTATAACATTTTTGCAATTGTTATGCCATAAAATGATGAGGGTATTGTATTTTGTGTAATGCTTTTAAATGTGACTAAAACGTCTTTTTTATTATATATTGTAACAATATCAGAATAAGATTTTCAGACAAATACAATTTGTGTGCACAGTATTTTTTTGTTGAGTATCAGTCTTTTTTATATAAGACTATTTTGAGTCCTTGAGGCCACACCAATTTAATTTCTTGGTTAACGGATTCGCCGGCTCCATTTTTTTCTGATTTGCAAAAAAAAAAAAAAATTTACAGAATCAACTGCAAAATGCTCATATTTTGCCCTGAACAGTTGAAAAAAAAGTCCTTTTCATCCTAGTTGTTACAGTACTAGTTATTCCATCTTTCAATGCAGTGGTATCATTAAAAGTTCAAATTTCATTGTTTGAATTTTGAACCAGCCTCAGGTGTGTTGACTTCATGGCTCCTATCGTACCATTTTGGGCCATAATAGGATGCCTAGGCCTATTTTTATTTTATCCGCCCGCCCGCTCCATTATTTTTCTAGAAAAATCTGTTAACCAAGAAATTAACTTGGTGTGGCCTAAGCTAATTAAAGCAAGTTTCTATATAGTGCAGCTTGAATTGCAGAATTTTTTGGGCCTGGTCAATTTTTGTACTTAGTTTATGGCATAGAACTTATTTTTAATGTTTCAACTATATAATAGCATAAGTAAAAACTCATTTTTTTTCTCACATACTTTTTAGTCACACCCCCCCCCCACGCACACACACATACATACACATCAAATATTAGTCAAGAATGCAACAGAAGAGAAAGTATGCGATAAACAATATTTATTGTAAGTTCTGGAAAGGTACACTTTACAATAGAGTAGATACACACAGTATTACTTGCAGTATAGGTCACTAAGCTGAAGTGCCTCTAGCTGCTGAAGGTAGTACTGCAGCTTCATCCTCGATTTCTTATCACTTCAGACGTATAAAATCCCCCCCATATACTTTCAGTAGGTGATTCCCATGACTTGGTAACAATGGAAAATTGGTTGATACCAGTTTTTGGAGGGGGTGTTGGGCAGAAGATGTGTTTTCCACAGAGCCAGGCACCGGCCTAACAACCAGGGGCTAGCCCGGCTCACAGCCCCTGCTTGTGGAGCCGTCACTGGTTCTGGGAACTGCTCTGTAGCCTCAAGTCAATGGCTGGGTTCCAGTCTACCAGATGAGAGCCTGTATCCAATCTATTGCAGACTCCATTGGAATAGCTTTGATTACTGTATGAAAACATGCTGATTCTGGGAACTGCTGTAGCCTCAATGGCTGGGTTCCAGTCTACTGTACCCAATCTATTGCAGACTCCATTAGAATAGCTTTGATTTTGAAAACATGCTGGTTCTGGGAACTGCTGTAGCCTCAATGGCAGGGTTCTAGCCTACCAGATGAGAGCCTGTAGGCAGTCTGTTGCAGACTCCATTTGAATAGCTTTGATCATGAAAACATGCTGATTCTGGGAACTGCTGTAGCCTCAATGGCTGGGTTCCAGTCTACCAGATGAGAGCCTGTACCCAATCTATTGTAGACTCCATTGGAATAGCTTTGATTTTGGAAATGTGCTGATTCTGCTGAAGTAATAGTAGTAACTTGCAAACTACATAGCAAAATATCTGACCATTGCTATTCACAAGTTATAGTTTGAGAGAGAATGCTGAAATTAATTCAAAATGTCACTGATGGAAAACAGTTGCTTGTTTGGTATCGTGGGATTCTTACATCGACATGTATTTGTGGGCGATACCAAAAAATGAAGAGACGCCTCACGTAACTTGTTTCTTAAACACTTCAAGTATGAAATGATGACGAAAATGTTCTAAGAAATGGCAGTAACTGTACTTGATCAGACAGATGTCCTCATCCAGAATATTTTTGCTTTGCCTCCCAGAAATTGCATTGGATGGCTTTATAACCTTCATCTTACAGTTTGCAGTGTTCTGTAGAGTGGACTTCGGCCCAACAAGCAGTGGCTAAGTTTAATGGACAACCACGGCTTGGGGAGCCGTAATACACTCCCAGGGTCATGAAGCGATAAATCGCCATTCTCTCAGCCGTCAGTCAATGCCAGATGGTGTGTACAGGTGCAACAGCTGCAGCTCCGTAACCAATTGCTAGATGGCGCCCCTGGACGGTGAAGACAGGACCCAAAGCCGGGCACGGCTCTCCAGGCAAGAGATAGTTTTGTTTCATCCCCGGCTTGCAGAGCCGTCCACGGCCGTATGGGCTTGATTTCGGGGACACATTCAGACATTTCTCCTACCTAAAAAGAATAAAGAAAAAGAACACTTCAAAATCAGTTTGAATGCAGATATGTTAACCACAACTAAGGAAATTCAGTACACTGAGAAAATTCAGGAGGTAACTTTTTTTTTCAGAGGAGAAAAAAACTAAAATGCCACACGGTTGTTGCAAGGAAATGTATGTGGGCTTATACAGAAGGGACCTAGTCTAGAATTGCATACACAGCAGTTCACGCTAACCATTTACATTTAGCGGCTGCCCTAAAGCTATAGGTAGAAGGTAAACCCATTCAGACTTACTCCCTTGGGGCTATGGGTAAAAGGTGAAAAAGTCTTGAAAAAATTACGACAAAGTACGATCTTTTGTTCATACGTTTGCTACCAGGCGCAAAAAAAGGTTTGAAAAACTTAATATATATTAAGTTGTCCTACACCGTTTTAATTTTCACCAGTTTGGAGTGAATCTAGCTGAATAAAAGACGAATACATAATGTGATCGATGTGGGTTTGTCAATGACATGGCAGATATAATTATAGCTTTCAGACATACATAATCTATTCAATCTCAGGTCTTTTCTTTAGGCAAAATTAAGTGTGTTACGCATCATTAGCGATAGTACATTTATCAATCTAAATATCAATCTAAATAACTTTTTTCAGAAGAGTTAGCTTGACAAGAAACAAGAACAGATGTTGCTACGAGAATTTTTCTTCCTTTCTTCCTTTCTCTTTCTTTTCTTCCTTCCTTTCTTCCTTCCTCTCTCTCTCTCTCTCTTTCTTGCTTCCTTTCTTTTTCTTTTTTTAAATCGGATGAATCCACAATTGCGTCTGTAAAACATACAGGGCGGCCAGCAAGAAAATGCACGATATTCTTGTCCAAAGAAGAGCTATTAAAATATATCCTTCGGGGATTTAGGTCGGTGTCTGTCTGTGTCATGCATCAGCTAGAAAATGCACGATATTCTTGTCCAAAGAAGAGCTATTAAAATATATCCTTCGGGGATTTTGGTCGGTGTCTGTCTGTGTCATGCATCAGTACACGCCCTGGGACCGAGATGACAGCGTGACCTCGTGACCAGGGTAGTCCGTCCACGGTTGTCTGCTGCATGTGTTACGCGTGATAATGTCATGACATGTCCCTGATCCCATTATGACCCATATCTATGTTTGCCTTTGGGATTAATACAAAACGCTAGACG